CTTCAGCGAGCGGGATGCCGAAGACGAAGTCCTATTAATGTTCGATCTATTATATGGGTCTACGCGCTCTCCTCTCTCTCCCCTCCGAGTTCCCGTTCCTGTCTTGTCTGCGTCATCTCTGTGTTTCTCGACGTGTTTCCCCTGCGCATTTCTCTTTGCGTGTTTTTTTTTGTTTTTTTCCTTCTCTTTTTTGTCTTCTTATTATTCTTTTGTTTGTTTATCTCTCTCTCTCTGCCTCTCTCTGCCTCTCTCTCTCTCTCTCGCTATCGCTCTTTCTCCCTCTCACTATTGGCCCCCCTCGCTCTCCTCTCTCGCCCTCTTTCTCTGTCGCTCTCCTCCCCCTAATCCCCATCCGTTGCCCTTCCCCCTCTCAGTCGAATCTCGCGCTGCCCCCCCCCCCCCTCCCAGACAAAACAAATTTGGGTGGAAATAGAAGTCCTTGCTTTGAGACTCGCGGCCCGCCAGGCCGGAGCGCCGGCTTTCTGGTGCATCCCGAGAGGTGCCTCAGCGAAATCACCGCGGGCGGGGTCTTCTGGTTTGGCGCCCTCGGGCGCGTCGAGGGGGGCGGCCATCTCGGGCTCGGTGCTGCCGGGCTTTCTCCGCGTTGCTCTGTTGCAGACCTGGGCCCCCCTCCGCGCTCGAGCTATCCCCCTGCGCCCCTGCCTCGCCATTCGCCCTCGAGGGCCGCAGGGGGGCAGGAGAAGGATCGGGGGGGGGGGGGGGGGTGAAGAGGAGGAGAAGAAAAGGAGGATGGAGGAGGGGGTGCCAGGGCGAGGGCGAGGGGGGCGAGGAGGAGGGGGGGAGGAGGTGGGGAAGGAGGAGGAGGAGGCAGGAGAAGGAGAAAGAGCGGAACTCGTGTTCTGGGCCGCATCGTAACCATAGGTCCACGTGCCCGCCGATGGGGATCTCGCCCCCGAACTCGCCGGCCCACCACCAACGGGAGTATCTCGGGGGGCTCGAATGACGAAGCGGAGGGGGGGGGGGGGGCAGGGCTGCCGCGGTCGCGCCAACAACTCGCGCCACTCCCTCGATCTGAAACGGAGGAGGAGCGAACCAAGGTTGCGGGGGGGGGGCGGGGTGTGCGTGGGCGTGTGTGTGTGTGTGTGTGTGTGTGTGTGTGTGTGTGTGTGTGTGTGTGTGTGTGTGTGTGTGTGTGTGTGTGTGTGTGTGTGTGTTGTGTGTGTGTGTGTGTGTGTGTGTGTGTGTGTGTGTGTGTGTGTGTGTTTGTGGGGGGGGGGGGGACTTACGGGGGAACGAAAACCATTCGCAAGAGCCGAGCCAGACACTTAGCACTCGTTTTCTCCGCGGCCGTGCCCCCCCCCCCCCCCCTTCAAAAAAAGTGGGCGTTATCGAGGTGGAGGAGGAAGATGAGGATGAGGAGGAGGAGGAGGTGGAGGACGAGGACTGCTGAGGGCGGACGGGGAGGAGGATGAGGGGCAGTAGGATTAGTTGAGAATCCCAAAGGTCCAAGGCCCAGCATCTCCGCGAACCGCTGCGTCGGCCTTCGGCAACCGTGCCAAAAAAACATCATCCTAGTTTCCCTCCGCCCCTCCCCTCCTCCTTCCTCCTTCTCCCCGCCCTCGCTCCCCCTCCTTGCCCCTCCCCCTCTCCATCCCTCTCCCTCCCTCTCCTTCCCTCTCCCTCTCCCTCCTCTCCCTCTCACCCCCCTCGCCCTGCTTCCCCTGCCTTCCTTCCGTGGCCCAGCGCTTTTTTTCTCCCCCATATCCTAAGATGGGGTTCTTGTTCCCCATATCCTAAGATGGGGTTCTTGTTATTACTTGGACGCCTCCTACTCCTCCTCCTCCTCCTCCCCCCTCCTCTTTTCTCCTCCCCTCCTGTCGGACGTACTTAGACTTGCTCATACACACCCATACTCAGACTTACTCATACTCAGACCTACTCATACTCAGACTTACTCACACTCAGACATACTCATATACAGACTTACTCATACACAGACTTACTCATACACAGTATTAGTCATACCCAGACGTACACATACACAGACTTACTCATACACAGACTTACTCATACTCAGCACCCCTAAGGGGAGCCGCCAGGGGTGGTTGCACGGGCTCGTTCGCGGCCATTTTGTGGGGATGTCTCAGGCGGTTTGCCTGTTTCTGTGCCCAACATCCTTCGCTTTCGGAGCAGATTTGGAGGATGTCTCGAGCGAGGCGCTCATTTCAGCACCCCTAAGGGGAGCCGCCAGGGGTGGTTGCACGGGCTCGTTCGCGGCCATTTTGTGGGGATGTCTCAGGCGGTTTGCCTGTTTCTGTGCCCAACATCCTTCGCTTTCGGAGCAGATTTGGAGGATGTCTCGAGCGAGGCGCTCATTTCAGCACCCCTAAGGGGAGCCGCCAGGGGTGGTTGCACGGGCTCGTTCGCGGCCATTTTGTGGGGATGTCTCAGGCGGTTTGCCTGTTTCTGTGCCCAACATCCTTCGCTTTCGGAGCAGATGTGGAGGATGTCTCGAGCGAGGCGCTCATTTCAGCACCCCTAAGGGGAGCCGCCAGGGGTGGTTGCACGGGCTCGTTCGCGGCCATTTTGTGGGGATGTCTCAGGTGGTTTGCCTGTTTCTGTGCCCAGCATCCTTCGTTTTCGGAGCAGATTTGGGGGGTGTCTCGAGCGAGGCGCTCATTTTCACACCCCAGGTGGGCCAGATTTTGAGGATGTCTCGATCGGTTTGCTAGTTTTGGTGGCCAGGCTCGCGGGGGCAGATTCTTCCCAGGATGCCACAGGAGGCTCCAACAGGCCCCAGGAGGCTCCAGGAGACCACATGAGGTCCCAGGAGGCATCAGGAGGCCACAGAAAGACTCAAGAGGCTACAGGATGTCCCAAGAGGCTCCAGGAGGCCCCAGGAAGCTCCAGAAGGCTTCAGGAAACCACAGGAGGCCCCAGGAGGCAACAGGAAGCGCCAGGAGGCCTCGGAAGGCAACAGGAGGCCCCGAGAGGCCCCAGGAGCAGGAGGCCTCAGAAGGCAACAGGAGTGGATCCAATCCCATGTGTTTTACGTATGCTCCTATCGATTGGGCCTCACCTGGAGCAGGATTCTTTGATGTTCTACGTATGTTTCTATAGATGGTCCTTCTCCTGTGTGCACAATCCTAAATGCTTTACTCATGTTCCTATGTATTGGGCCTCTCCCGGGGCACGAGTCCTTGGTGTTTTACGCGTGTTCCTATAGATTGCCCTTCTCCTGTGGCTCTAATCCGCAATGTTTTATGTGCGTCTGTTGCTATAGATTGCGCCTCCCCTGGGGCACACAACCTTCCTAGGAGGTCCCAGGAGGTCCCAAGAAGCCCCTGGGGACCCCAGGAAGCCCCAGTAGGTTTCAGGGGGGCCCAGGAGGCCCCAGGCTCGTGCACAGTGACGCGCTCGTACTACTGAGGCTCATTCACACTCCAATTCATTCGCAGTTAGATGGATGTCCAGACCGTCACAACTGAAGCCCGTTAATATTCGAAAGCTCTTGCGCCTAGACATTCACGGCGGACAGGTCCATGCGAGTAGATGCACATATGGGGAGCTCCACGCAGTGAATAATTATTACTTGGACGCCTCCTACTCCTCCTCCTCCTTCCCCCTCCTCTTTTCTCCTCCCCTCCTGTCGGACATACTCAGACTTGCTCATACACAGACATACTCATACTCAGACTTACTCATACTCAGACCTACTCATACTCAGACTTACTCACACTCAGACATACTCATATACAGACTTACTCATACACAGACTTACTCATACACAGTATTAGTCATACCCAGACGTACACATACACAGACTTACTCATACACAGACTTACTCATACTCAGCACCCCTAAGGGGAGCCGCCAGGGGTGGTTGCACGGGCTCGTTCGCGGCCATTTTGTGGGGATGTCTCAGGCGGTTTGCCTGTTTCTGTGCCCAACATCCTTCGCTTTCGGAGCAGATTTGGAGGATGTCTCGAGCGAGGCGCTCATTTCAGCACCCCTAAGGGGAGCCGCCAGGGGTGGTTGCACGGGCTCGTTCGCGGCCATTTTGTGGGGATGTCTCAGGCGGTTTGCCTGTTTCTGTGCCCAACATCCTTCGCTTTCGGAGCAGATTTGGAGGATGTCTCGAGCGAGGCGCTCATTTCAGCACCTCTAAGGGGAGCCGCCAGGGGTGGTTGCACGGGCTCGTTCGCGGCCATTTTGTGGGGATGTCTCAGGCGGTTTGCCTGTTTCTGTGCCCAACATCCTTCGCTGTCGGAGCAGATTTGGAGGATGTCTCGAGCGAGGCGCTCATTTCAGCACCCCTAAGGGGAGCCGCCAGGGGTGGTTGCACGGGCTCGTTCGCGGCCATTTTGTGGGGATGTCTCAGGCGGTTTGCCTGTTTCTGTGCCCAACATCCTTCGCTGTCGGAGCAGATTTGGAGGATGTCTCGAGCGAGGCGCTCATTTCAGCACCCCTAAGGGGGGCCGCCAGGGGTGGTTGCACGGGCTCGTTCGCGGCCATTTTGTGGGGATGTCTCAGGCGGTTTGCCTGTTTCTGTGCCCAACATCCTTCGCTTTCGGAGCAGATTTGGAGGATGCCTCGAGCGAGGCGCTCATTTCAGCACCCCTAAGGGGAGCCGCCGGGGGTGGTTGCACGGGCTCGTTCGCGGCCATTTTGTGGGGATGTCTCAAGCGGTTTGCTTGATTCTGGGCCCAGCATCCTTCGCTTTCGGAGCAGAGTTGGAGGATGTCTCGAGCGGGGCGCTCATTTTCACACCCCAGGTGGGCCAGATTTTGAGGATGTCTCGATCGGTTTGCTAGTTTTGGTGGCCAGGCTCGTGGGCGCAGATTCTTCTCAGGATGCCACAGGAGGCTCCAACAGGCTCCAGGAGGCCCCAGGAGACCACATGAGGTCCCAGGAGGCATCAGGAGGCCACAGAAAGACTCAAGAGGCCACAGGATGTCCCAAGAGGCTCCAGGAGGCCCCAGGAAGCTCCAGAAGGCTTCAGGAAACCACAGGAGGCCCCAGGAGGCAACAGGAAGCGCCAGGAGGCCTCGGAAGGCAACAGGAGGCCCCGAGAGGCCCCAGGAGCAGGAGGCCTCAGAAGGCAACAGGAGTGGCTCCAATCCCATGTGTTTTACGTATGCTCCTATCGATTGGGCCTCACCTGGAGCACGATTCTTTGATGTTCTACGTATGTTTCTATAGATGGTCCTTCTCCTGTGTACACAATCCTAAATGTTTTACTCATGTTCCTATGTATTGGGCCTCTCCTGGGGCACGAGTCCTTGGTGTTTTACGCGTGTTCCTATAGATTGCCCTTCTCCTGTGGCTCTAATCCGCAATGTTTTATGTACGTCTGTTGCTATAGATTGCGCCTCCCCTGGGGCACGAAACCTTCCTAGGAGGTCCCAGGAGGTCCCAAGAGGCTCCTGGAGACCCCAGGAAGCCCCAGTAGGTTTCAGGAGGCCCCAGGAGGCCCCAGGCTCATGCACAGAGACGCGCTCGTACTACTGAGGCTCATTCACACTCCAATTCATTCGCAGTTAGATTGATGTCCAGACCGTCACAACTGAAGCCCGTTAATATTCGAAAGCTCTTGCGCCTAGACATTCACGGCGGACAGGCCCATGCGAGTAGATGCACATATGGGGAGCTCCACGCAGTGAATATTTTTTGGGGGTATTTGTTGAGGATGACCGAGCCTGGGCTTGTGCTGGATCATGGCCCTCCCGTGCGCGCACAGCGTCCGCAGTTTTTTTCGCGGTCCTCTCGGCGAGCGATTGCTATCTCGATTCGGACATATTCCATTTGCCCTCCTTGCACATGTCAGCCGCAACGTTTTCAACGCCTCGAGTGCGACACTCTCTGCCATCGAACAGTTCGGGGCCACTGGGTATATGGCGAGAGGAATAGTCCTGCATTATTGCGCCATCTCTTTCTTCATGGGTTCGTCCTCGCCTCTCGTGCCATAGTAGTTCATGTTCAGCGCATCCTCTGCCGCAGGAAGACGCGCATCACTCAGCAATTCTGAATTCGACAAACGGGGCCTTCTAGCGGGAGGAGTCATGCATAGTATGACAGAGCTTACAAGAAGCGGAATGCACCAATAGGAAAATATTGAATCGATCGGGGCCGAAATGGCTGCGAGTGGGCGAGCGGGAGACAAGAAACATTCGAGCGCATCAGCCCTCCTCCCTCCTCCTCCCTCCTCCTTCCTCATCCTCCCTCGCGTTCCCTCCTCCTTTTCCTTCTCCTCTTCCTCCTCTCGTCCGCCTCCACCTCCTCCTCGTCCTCCTTTTCTCTCTCTCTATATGTTTGATCCGTCCTTCCTCCTCCGCTCCCGTAGCCTTTTGGGCTCATGCGAGGTTGCGACCCGCAGTTCACGTGCCCTTTTGGCTGGTGGTTTGGTTTTAAGTGCCGGCCTTTTGCTTTTAAGTGCCGGCTTGTTTTAAGTGCCGGCCTGTCTTATAAGCACCTTGATCCAAAGGTTGCTATTGTACGTGCCGGAGACCCTGTGGGCCCCTCGCGATCGTTTCCCACGTCTCTCCTCCAGGACCGGTAGCCGACGAGTCGTAGAGCGCCATCACCGTGTTCATCTCCTCGACCTGGTAGCCGATGTTCTTGCTGATCACCCTGCGGATTGCCTTCACCAAGCCCGGCGGGCATACCTGCGACCACTCGGACATCTTCTGCAGCTTCCCGCCGGCATCGCGCTGGTTTCCGAACGCCGTCGTGTGCTCGTGATCCATCGTGCACCTCCTCTTTAGGTCCTCGGCGTGGTCCATGGTGGTGAGCATCGCCGTCGGCTTCTTCAGCAGCCCCTGCCCGCTCGGGCCCTTCTGGCCGTGGGCGCACTGGTCCAGGATGACCCCCCTAACCCGCGGGTTCCTCATGGGCCCCCGCATCTCGGCGAGCCCCCAGGAAGTCGCAGTCCAAGGGTGTTCCAGGTAGAAGTGGCGGCCCGCGTCCAGCTGGATCTTGGCGACGCGGATCGCGAGCCTCAGGAACAGCAGGGCCTCCCGGCACTGCTTTTCCCAGTCCTCAGTGCGCTTGCCCTGGTTGAGGCTCTGGAGGGCGCAGAGCATCGCGCATGGTGGCGACAGTCCCACCACCTTGGGCGTGCACTTCTTGATCTCCGCCAGCGCCCATATGCGATCTTCCTTTCGGCGGCAGTCCCAGCCCGTCTTGAGGCCCAGGGCCAGGTCCCCGAATATGTTGGTCTTACTTTCGCAGTCCAGAACCCTGGGCGGTGAGAAGATCTCCGCCAGGTCGTCGGCGGCGTCGCACTCCTCGAACCTGCTGATCACCTTGCCGTCATTCGTGAACAGGATCTGCTCCGGGATGCAGTGGGCTACGTCCCCCATGATGCGCTTCCACTCGCCATTCTTGATCTCCCGGGTCTTCGGCTCTGCGGGCTCGTACTAGAACTGCGTCGCGATGTCCCGGATCCCCTTGCCGTCCGGGAACTCGTAGATCCACTCCAAGTCGCTCATCTCCTCGCCGTGCTCGATGGCCGCGTCGTCGATCACCTCCCCGGTGTGGCGGTCCCTCGTGACACGCCACTTTACCTGCTTCCAGCAGGGCTCGCCTCGTTGACCTCTCACTGCCCTGGTGCGCGCTGCCCTGTCCTGCTTCTCGTGTAGCTTCAGTTCGCCCCGTCTTCCCACGAGTCCTCCGACGGGGCGCTCTTCCGCGCCGCGTCCGCCATCCTCTCGCCCGCTCGGCCTGGTGAGCGGCTCGTCCTCCTTGCTCGGGTTCTCGGCCGTCTGCTCCTCTCGTCCGTCTCTGACTCCCGAGTGCTCCTCATCATCTTCATCGCGTCGTTGACGTGCGTTGCGGATGTCCTGATCCAGCTGCAGTGCTCGGTGTCGTTCTTGAGCGCCTCCTCGTAGGTCTTCCGGCGGTGCCTGTTGCCGAACATGACCTTCCTGGTTCCCCAGCTCCCGACCACCGCCGCCGGGTCGATCGCGACCGCCGCGAGCTGGGCGCCGTAGGTCCGCGGGGCGTCCTGCAGGTCGACCGCCCTCATGTTCCGCGGGGCGCCCGGCAGCGGGGGCTTCCGCAAGACGCAGAGGTCCACAAGCTCCGCCTTCACCGTGGGCATCGCGTTGGCGACCCACTACAACCGACGCGCCGGCTTCTTCTCGTGGCTGCTCGCTGTCATCGAACCGCTCTCCAGCAAGTCGCTGGGGCCCACTAGGGCGCGGACCTCTCGGAAGCACTGGGGCCCCAGGAAGCCGCAGCGCAGCGCCTGCGCCTGCCCAGCGCACCAGCGCAGCAGCAACACACAGCTGGCGAGGTACGCCCATAGATCTGCAGCCTGGTGGGGTTGGATGGTCGGCATGCGCCGACAAGGCATGGACAACATGCTGATGGATTGCAACTTTGGGCCCAATTGGCTGTGTATCGTTCGGATCCTCGCTGTTTGGCTCGGGCTCCTGCGCCTTGAGATTCTTCTCTTCGTTTCTCTCTCGCTCCCCGGGATGCCTTGGTCGCCCCGGGCCCTCTCTCCAGTGGCCTCTGGGTTTCCCGATGTCGTTCCCGGGGTCCCCGAGGATGTCGGCCCACTGGCAATCGGCGGGCCCCCAGACCTCGAAATCGGTGCTCTCGGGCTCGAAATCGATGTCCTGGTGGTCGTCGGCGTCCTCGAACTCGGCATCAACGGTCTCAAACTGGTCAAGCTCGAGCTCGGAATCGGTTTCGGTAACGGGCTGGGCCTCGGCGCTCCTGAAATCTCAGAAACGTTCGGCTCCGAAGCGATGCTGTTGCAGGTCTTCGATTGGCACGTGGGGGTTAGGAGAGTCGCCACCAGCTCTTTCTTTTCATGCGCAATTGTCTCGTCTGAGACGCACACCACTTCGGATGTCCTGGTCTCGGCTCTCGCGGGCTTCTGAACCCCCCGCTCGCCGAAGTCGCACAGGGGCAGGCGCCGCTGCTTGGTCGCAGGGCTACCCCGGGATCTTCGAAGGGCCACGGTAACCCCCAAGGTCTTCAGAGTGAGCGCCCCCTCGGAAGTGTCCACGATCCCAGAGAGGGCCTCAAGCAGCCCCTCGGAGATCAGCAACGGGGCCCAGCCCGGCACCACCCAAAACTTCAGGATTCCACTTCTCCCCCCCAGGCCCACAGGATACTCAGCAACCCAATTTGACTGAGTGGCCTGGCCGTTCGCGAAATGGAAAATCCCGCTGATACACGGTGCATACCGAATACAAGGTCCAGAAAGCCTTCGGAGAGCATAGCCGCGCAGTACAATCGCGAAGTCCCCAACGATTAGCCTGGAACAACCCGTATCGACCATGCCCTGCAGGACTCCCAGAAGCTGAGATGTCGAAAACTTTTGCAAACGCTTCTTCGCCTCCTCCAAACACTCTCGAAACCTGCGAGGGCCCATCTCAAGTCCCGTGGGTGATGAAGAGCCTGCGGCAGCGCTAGAGGCCTGTTCGGCCTGGGCTGCCTGGCGGCGCGCCTTCGCGCGCAGCCGGCGATCGCGGTTCTTGACCTTCGTGGCTTCGTCTACCTCGGGCGGCTGGTTGTGCTCTGCCGGGTCGGTGCTGGTGGCCAGGGTCTGCTCCCCCTCCAGGTCGAAGACGTGGAAGTCGTCGAGCTCCTCGGGGTTGTCACCGTCGTACACCGCCCTGGCCTGCTCCGCGTTGCTCCTCTGCTTCGGTGGGTTCCGGTACCCACGCGTCCAGTGGCCCACCTGGTCACAGCGGTGGCAGCGCGTCCTCCTCTTCAGCTCCTCGATCTTCTTACGTGCCTCCTTCTGGTACTCTGGGCTGCCCTTGCCGCGACCGCCAGACTTCCCCTTCGGCGCGCTCGCGTCGCGGTAGCCCCTGGACGTCTTGCGGTCCCTGACGATGCGCCTCGTCTCCTGCCAGCTTCCGCGTCCGCCAGGTCCGGCCTGCCACGCCGCCAGCACCGCATAGGCTTCCTACTCGTCGATGACGTCTTCGTCGGCGATGTCCTCCTGGTCGGAGCCGCCCTCCAGCGCCATCAGCGCCTGCGTAATCGGATCCTCGTCCTCGTCCTGCTCGTCGTCCTCGTCCACCTGGAACACCCTCGCCGTCCGGTGCTGCCCGGAGTCGCCCTGGTGGTTCCTGGTGGTCTTCTCGAGCGAGCTGTCGTCGCGAAGCCCCTTGAGCGCCGTCCGCACGTCGTCATAGGCCAGAGAGCCCGACGATTGGAGCATCACCGCCATGCGCTCCGCGTGGTCCAGCTTCGCCTGTCGAACGAGGAGGTAGCCCTGCACGTCGTCCAGTGCCACCTGCAGCTTCTTGAGCCTGTCAAAAGCCTTCTTGATCTTCATCGAGTGCTGCTGCAGGCTCTCCCCTTTCTGGCGCTCCGACCCGTAGAAAGTGTGCTCGAACTCTAGGTACTTTTCGTGCACGTTCTTCGGCAAGATCTCCTGTTCGAGCGCTTTCACGATGTTCTCCACTCCGTCCTCGCCTTCGAGCTCGCTCTGGTCGAGACCTTCCACGATGCTCTGGATCTGGTCGTCGCCGCCCTCCAAGATACTGTAGTAGGCGTGGGGACCTCTCTGATGTGGTGGAATCCCCGTCGCCACCTTAAACCAAATCCTCAACCTCCGAACAAATCTAAGCAACTCCTCTATCGTGGAGTCCTTGATGACCGGCGGCGGAACATACCTTCTGGTATTCACGCCTTGCCCGCCTTCTCGTCCGACTGGGGCTACGTACTCTCGATCCTCATCATCCTCTTCGTCCCCCATGCTGTGGCGATGGACCGCTCCTTTCTCGTGTGGTAGTCACCGCTCACCGTGCTGTCGTCGAAACCTCGGTCCGTGAAGTCGCCCCACTCTTGAAATGCGCTGGCACTCCGCGTGGAGCTTCTGCCAGCTCCGCTACCACCAAACACGGTGGAGCGGCGGAACAGAAGCGGCAGCTATCGCAAAACTCATTTTCGGTATCAGTTCAGGCACACGCGTGTCTGCCTCCAAAGGGGCCGAAGCCCCTGCTCGAACCAAACACGGTTACTGAAGGGGCTGAGTGTCTGGCTTCCTCAGGAGTCCTCTAGAAAATCCCTAGGGCAACTCGCAAATGGCGAGGAAATCTCAGGCGAAACGCCCGGCCCGCCCTAAAAACTGGCCTCGGGGTGCAACAGGGAGAATATATGTATCAGGGAAAAGAATAGAGGAGGAGGAGGAGGAGGAGGAGGAGGAGGAGGAGGAGGAGAGGAGGAGGAGGAGGAGGAGGAGGAGGAGGAGGAGGGCGAGGAGGATTGCGAGCAGGCAGGAGGAGGAGGAGGACGAGGAGGAGGAGGAGGAGGAGGAGGAGAGAGGAGGAGGAGGAGGAGGAGAAGGAGGAGGAAGAGGAGGAGAGGGGGGGGGAGCGAGAGGGGGGGAGGGTGCGGGATGGGGGGGGAGGAGGAGGGGGAGGGACAGGAGGAGGACGAGGAGGAGGAGGAGGAGGAGGAGGAGGAGGAGGGGCGGAGGAGGAGGATGATGAGGAGGAGGAAAAGGAGGAATCCAGGAGGAGGAGGAGGAGGAGGAGGAGGAAGAGGAGGAGGACGGCGACCGCCAAGGACGTCGAGGCCCCCCTCCCCTCGACGCCCGCCGCCGCGGGGCGGCGGCGACCCGCGCGGCGCCGGCGGCCGCACCGCCCGCCGCCGCGATCGGGGAGGCCATGGCTCCGCGGCAGCGGCGCGCGGCGCGCGGCTCGAGGGCGACCACGTCCACGTCGTCGTCGTCGCCGCCACCACCGCCGCAACGGTGGTGGTGGTCGTCGTCGTCGTCGCCGCCGCCGCCGCCGTCGTCGTCATCGTCGTCGTCGACGACAACGTCATCGTCGTCGTCGTCGTCGTCGTCGTCGTCGTCGTCGCCGTCGTCGTCGTCGTCGTCGTCGTCATCGTCGTCGTAGAGGTCGCCGTCGCCGTTGCCGTCGCCGTCGAACTCGCCGTCGCCGTCGCCGTCGTCGTCGCCGTCGCCGTCGCCGCCGCCGCCGCCGCCGCCGTCGTCGTCGTCCTCGTCGTCGTCGTCGTCGTCGTCGTCGTCCGCTCGTGAGCAGCGCGGACACCTCAACTCCCAAGGCTGGCGGCGCCGATCCGCACACGGCCAGCCGGCCAGCGCGCAGAGGCCCCCTCGATATGGCCGCAGCCCCAGCGGGGAGCGGGTGGCCCTGGTAGGGTTCCTCCTCCGCCTGGTCCTGGCCTCCTGGCCTCCTGGCCTCCTGGCCTTCTGGCCTCCTCCTCCTCCTCCTCCTCCTCCTCCGCCTCCTCCTCCTCCTGCTCGCAATCCTCCTCGCCCTCCCCCTCACTCTCCTTGCTCTCCTCGCTCTCTGGCCCCACGGGGGGCCCTCTTCGTCGCCAAGGCTGGACGCAGCTCAAACACTCGTCAGGATGGACCTCGGGGTGGAGGAGTCGCCTAGGTGGGGCGGGCGTCGTGGGTGGCCATGATGGGGTGGTCCTGGGGATGGCCATGGCGGGGGCAATCCTGGAAAGATAGCCCTGGAGGGTGGGGTGGTCGTGATCTGGGAGGCGAGGCGGCGGCCGCTTGTCGCATAGAGTAGAAACCTGCATGTGGTATGCGGGCGCGCAAATTCGCATTGCGCCTTGCGCTGTCCGTAAGCACGATGGCCTACGACCCTGACGCTCCCGGACACCCAGACCGGCCGAACCCTCCGTTAGCAGCAGGCACCCGAGAATTTCTGGAAAAGCATCGTTCAAAGCACACGGCAGCAGCAGCTGGAACTGGAGGAGATCCGCGCCACGCGGCACGGCCGCCTGCTGCGGGGGCAGAAGACGTCCCCGAGGCCGCGCGAGTGCTCTCTTCTCCGGGCCGCGCTGCGCCGAGCGGCTGGCCGACCTGCCTGGCGGGAGCACCTCTCGATGCCCGCCCCCCTGGAGGCCTCGCGGGCCCCCATGGGCCGCGCCCGGCTGCGGCGGTGGCCCCCCGCCCCCCGGCCCTCCCGCGCCCGAGTTGCGCCCAGCGGCGGCGAGGAATCTCGCACCCTGCCCTCCTGCGCCTCCTCCCTCGCCTCTCCCCCTCCTCCTTCCCTCCTCCCCTCCTCCTCCTTCCCTCCTTCCTCTCCCTCCTCCTCCCCTCCTCTCCCCCTCCTCCTTCCCTCCTCCCCTCCTCCTCTCCCCCTCCTCCTCCCGCGCCTACTCCCTCGCCTCCCTGCCCTCCTGCCCTCCTGCACCCCCCTCCCTCGCAGCGGCCCCCCGGGGCCTCCGAAAGGGGAGGGGCGGGAGGGGAGGGGGGGAAGGGGAGAGGAGTGTAGGGCGGGAGGGCGGGGGAAGGGAGGGGGGGAAGGGGAGGGGGGGAAGGAGAGGGGGGGAAGGGGGGGGCGGGAGGGGAGGGGGGGAATGGGAGAGGAGTGCAGGGGGACAGATCGTCATTGTCGCAACCAGCGTCGTGTCGTCGGCGAAGAACAGGGAGAGCGGGGACGGCGCCCGAGCGAGAAGAGACGCCGAGGCCTGGCAGGTAGAGGTAGACGAGCACGGCGCAGTTGAAGTAGAGCATGAGAGGGATCCTGCCCCATGGGCGCTTACAATCCAAGACGTGCGTATTTCTTCAGAACGCGACAAAAAAAAAGCACCGACTATCCCCCCTACGGCCCTCCCTCTTAAGAAGACAAGTGTTTGACTGTATGTTTGGCCTCTGGGGTTTGCCTTTGGGCCAGCTCCTCCGCCCCCACTTCCTCCACAACACGCCCTCCAAAAGGAAAAAATGCAGAGACAAACCACGCGCGCGCAATATCAAGCAAATCAGACCCCACCCACACATTCCTTCCGATTGCGTTTTTATACAGTGACCTCGCCGTGCGATGCGCAATCGTAGTGGGGAGCTGTGCACATTAGAAAAGGAAGGGGAGGTTGCGGAAAAGCGAAAGATATTAGGGGGAAAAGGACAATGAGGAAGGAAATGGAGAAACAGCAACATCAAAAACATAGCCGGAGTGCAGTATCCCCAAACAGGGTTTTTAGACCCACTGCGGTTTCCATGGTCGATTGCGTGCCCGTCCAGTGCGGGCTGGCATGGCATGTTAAAACATGCCTCCTCCTTCTCCTCCTCCTCCTCCTCATCCTCCTCTTCATCCCGAACGGCATCTCGGAGCCCAGAGTTGCGAGGATGTCTCCAGCGTGACGGGCTGGACCACCTCGCGCGCGGCATTTCGGACCCTAGAGTTGCGACGATGTCTCGGGCGAAACGTGCTGCGAGGAAGTCTCAGGCGAAACGGGCCGGACCACCTCGAGCGCGGCATCTCAGAGCTCCGAGTTGCGGGGGCCTCCTGGGACCTCCTGGGGCCTCCTTGGGACCTCCTGGGGCTTCCTCCTGGGCCTCCTGTGGCCTCGTAAACTCCACCTGGGGCTTCCTGAAGCCTCTTGGGGCTCCCAGGGGGGGATATCTAACATGTGGCCGTCGGGGCCACCCCAAATGGGGAGGGAGCCACAAGAGCAGGAAAAATCAACGAATCGACACCGGATGTGTATTAACTTGACACGTTCTGATAGAGGGCCTCCTGGGGCCTCCTGGGAGCCTCCTGGGAATCTCCTGCGGACCCCTGGGGCCTGTCCTGGGCGTCCTGCGGCCTCCTGAAGCTCTCTGGAGCCTCCTGGGGCTCCCAGGGCCCCAGGGGGGATATGTAACATGTGGTCTTCTGGGCCCCCAGGCTGGACCACCTCTTGCGCAGCATCTGAGAGCTCAGAATTGCGAGAATGTCTTGTGCGAAACGGGCCGGACCACCTTGCGCACGGCATCTCAGATCTCAGAGTCAGAGTTGCGAGGACGTCTCAGGCGAAATGGGCCGGACCACCTCGCGCAGGGCATCTCGGAGCCCAGAGTTGCGAGGATGTCTCAGGCGAAACGGGCTGGACCACCTCGCGCGCGGCATCTCGGACCCCAGAGTTGCGACGATGTCTCGGGCGAAACGTGCTGCGAGGAAGTCTCAGGCGAAACGGGCCGGACCACCTCGAGCGCGGCGTCTCAGAGCTCCGAGTTGCGTGGGCCTCCTGAGGCCTCCTGGGGGCTCCTGGTGACCTGGGCCTCCTGTGGCCTCCTGGGCCCCACCTGGGGCTTCCTGAAGCCTCTTGGGGCTCCCAGGGGGATATCTAACATGTAGCCGTCGGCCCCCCCCCCAAATGGGAAGGGGGGGGCACAAGAGCAGGAATTACTCCGACGGTAGGACCCCACATGAGAATCTGTTTAGCTTACCCTTTGCCCTTTCCTCCTCCCCCTGGCGGACACCCTCTCCTCTCGCCCCCTGCACTGCCCTCTCTTCCCCCTTCTATTTCTCTTCCTCCTCTTCCTTTTCCTCCTCCTCCTCCTCCTCCTCCTCCTCCTCCTCCTCCTCTCGCGCCACCTCCTCCTCGTCGTCGGCCTCCCCCATGCCCCTTCCCTCCTCATCCCCCTGCCTTTTCTCCATGTGCACCTCCCCTTCCCCCTCGTCGGGGCAAGCAAATCAATTTTCCTCAGCGCCGTCGCCGCCTCGGCCAGCGCCTCGGGAAGGGGGCCCCATAGGGAGGAGGCTCCCGCCTGAGACTTCCTCGCAATTCACTCACAGACGAGGCTCCCGCTCGAGACTTCCTCCATATTCAAGTCTCAAGAGCCCAAAAATGACGACAGTTGCACGATGCGATGACCCGCTCGGATTCGAACATGAAGTGCGGGCCCCATAGGGAGGGGGTTCCCGCCTGAGACTTCCTCGCAATTCACTCACAGACGAGGCTCCCGCTCGAGACTTCCTCCATATTCAGGCCTCAAGAGCCCAAAAGCGACGACAGTTACACGTTTCGGATGACCCGCTCGGATTCGAACATGAAGTGCGGGCTCCATAGGGAGGGGGCTCCCGCCTGAGACTTCCTCGCAATTCACTCACAGACGAGGCTCCCGCTCGAGACTTCCTCCATATTCAGGCCTCAAGAGCCCAAAAGTTACGACAGTTACACATGTCGGATGACCCGCTCGGATTACCAACATGAAGTGCGGGCCCCATAGGGAGGGGGCTCCCGCCTAAGACTTCCTCGCTATTCACTTACAGACGAGGCTCCCGCTCGAGACTTCCTCCATATTCAAGCCTCAAGAGCCCCAAAACGACGACAGTTACACGTTTCGGATGACCCGCTCGGATTACCAACATGAAGTGCGGGCCCCATAGGGAGGGAGCTCCCGCCTGAGACTTCCTCGCAATTCACTCACAGACGAGGCTCCCGCCTGATATGCTGATGTTGATGATGAGAGAGTGTGAGTGAGTGTGAGTGTGAGTGAGTGGTGATGATGATGAGTGAGTGAGTGAGTGTGCGAAGGCAGAAAAAGAGAGGGGGTGGGGTGAGTGTTCCTGCGCGGGGTGTGCAGAGAAAACAAGAACCCCACTTTGGATGTGGGGAAAAATCAACGAATCGACACCGGCTGTGTATTAACTTGACACGTTCTGATAAGGGGGCCTCCTGGGGCCTCCTGGGAATCTCCTGCTCCCCCCTGGGGCCTGACGGGCCAGACCACCTCGAGCGCACCGTCTCAGAGCTCCGAGTTGCGGGGGCCTCCTGGTGCCTCCTGGGGCCTCCTGGGGACCTCCTGGAGCTTCCTCCTGGGCCTCCTGTGGCCTCCCGAAATCCACCTGAGGTTTCCTGAAACCTCTTGGGGTTCCCAGGGGGGATATCTAACCTGTGGCCGCTTGGGCCCCTCAGAATGGAGGGGGGGGGGCACAAAAGCAGGACAAATCAACGAATCGACACCGGATGTGTATTAACTTGACACGTTCTGATAGAGGGCCTCCTGGGGCCTCCTGGGAGCCTCCTGGGAATCTCCTGGGGCCCCTGGGGCCTGTCCTGGGCGTCCTGCGGCCTCCTGGACCACTTTGGGGCCTCCTGAGGCTCGCAGGGTCCCATGGAGGATATGTAACATGTTGTCTTCTGGGCCCCCAGGCTGGACCACCTCTTGCGCGGCATCTGAGAGCTCAGAGTTGCGAGAATGTCTTGTGCGAAAAAGGCCGGACCACCTTGCGCACGGCATCTCAGAGCTCAGAGTTGCAAGGATGTCTCAGGCGATACGGGCCGGACCACCTCGCGCAGGGCTTCTCAAAGCTCACAAGTTCGAGGATGTCTCAGGCGAAACGGGCCGGACCACCTCTCGCGCGGCATCTCCGAAGCCAGAATTTCGAGGATGTCTCAGGCGAAACGGGCCGGACCACCTCGCGCAAGGCATCGCAGAGCTCAGAGTCTTTCCTCTGAGAATCGGGGTAAGATGACAAAGGAATTAAGATCTCATGTTCACTCTGCTCAGGGAGAGAGGGGACGGGATGAGACATTGATAAGACAAGTATCCGCTAAGCAGGACTACTCTATCAGGAATGCGAAGGGAGGAGGCCGGCTGGCCTACCACCGACGACCCACGACGACCTAGGGCTGGCGCGCCCCTTTTCTCTCCTGCAAGCCAAGGTTGGCTTGTTCGAGCAATCGTACAGCTGCGGGGCGCAGCTGTTAGTTCCAAAGGACAGTGCAATGCGCGCAAACTAAGTTATGTCTTAATTTAATATGAGGCGGAGAGGAGCTTATTTACTCCCCCCGCGGCGGGCCGCGCAGAGCCCACCCAGCCACAGCACCCCCGGCCTGTGCATGTGCACAACCACGGGAGCCAACCCGAAACAACTTCTACAGCTCAGCGGTGGCTGCCAGGGGGCCAAGGGCCGAAGAGGCTCGACGTTTCCCACCAGTATGATAATACAATTCTCTCTGCTGGACCGGCTTAGCCGACCAGCAGAGGTGTCCGCATCCAACGCGCGTTCCGCGCGTGGATAAAATAATCTTGCATGCGCCTGCCGCGACTGAGTCACGCGGGCGAAACTCAGTTCAGGTCCTGCCACGGGTTGGGCTCGTCCTCTTCTCTGGGCGGCGCCGGAGGCGGCGGGTTTGACGATGCCGATCCTCCCGTCTGTGCCTCCACGCCACGAGGCGTGCGGGACCGCCCTCTTCCTTTTTCAGCGTCGCTCTTCGATGCTGCCCTTTTGGCGGGAAGCGTAAGCCGTGCTCCCATGTTGATAGCACGTGCCAGTAATTCAGAGTGTACCACTCGGCGTCGGTAAGCCACGCGATCCTGTTCCGATGGACGCAGTACCCGGCGTGGATTCCGTTCACGTATCGCGGGTAGGATTTCGTGCTCGTAGCTGTTGTCCGCAGCACTGCCGGCAGCGTCCGTGGCCGCGCCTGCGGCAGCGTCCATGGCCGCGCCGGCGGCAGCGCCCATGGCCGCGCCGGCGGCAGCACCCGTGGCCCCATCGCGCGCGCGTCGTGAATCCGACCGATCCCTCATGTTGGGATGTTGAGGGTATGTCTCCCTGGTCGTCACGGCTGAGCCGGCGACTGAACGCGGGGATTCGGTGGCTTCTTCGGGTACCAGAGCGTCTGAGACGCCAGGTCTAAGAGGCGGAGGGCGCGACGAAGGTCTAGCCTTCGGTCCAGCCGGCGCCCGTGGCCCCACGATCTCGGCTTCGCCGTCGTGGTCTGGATTGTGATTCATACGATCGCTCATGAGTTG